GACCAAATTTTAGAGAAGGGATTTACTTTTTGATCACTGGTGTCACACCGAGCACCAAATGGACTTCAATGGGGAAAAGACGTGAGAGAGCCAGGAAAGGGAGCATGCCTCCCCGGAGGAAAGAAGAATGCAGATAAAGGAGAAGCGGATAAAGTTGAGTAGTCCTCCTAAGAACAAGACAAATCCAAGTTACATTTTCTTTCCATCCCTCTCAGACCTGCTACATCAAACAGAATAGAAAGGCTGGTACTTAAACAGCCTCAAGAGCAATCTGGGTCTAAGATTCAACCTTCACTTAAATGTATCCAAATTGGCATTAGAACCAGTCTAGGCTCGGACCAGTAGACATGCACAATTAGGAATGTTCTTAGGAGAAGCTCACTAAAGGAATCTCCAGGTGAAATATTTGGAAGCAGAACCATCTACCATGATGGATATGCAGTTTCAAATAGTAAAATAGTAACAAGCAAGCATCTGAAGCATTAATTTGGATTATTTTCACATTAAATCCAAGAACAAATTTTCAACTGTATAGGAGTAGATTGACTAAATTGGCTATTATATATTTGCAAAAGGACTTCTTACGAACATTGATATATGACTTGTACCACTAAATGGAGTAAGGATGTGAACCCCATCATTTTTAGTATAGCTTTCTAAGAATGTTTTAGTGCTGTTATCATTGAAGTGAAGGCACGGTCAGGCACTAACTTCTCTTGGAGCCTAGAGAGAAGTACAAAGCCAAACATATCCGTTTGAAGTAATGCATTGAATATGAATAACAATGATCCATATTTTCCAAACTGAAGTACTACTAGAATTGAGATGTAATCAATCAAAAAAAAAAAGGCTAACTAGTTCAAAGGACGTTAAATACTTTGAAAAGACAAAGGTGGAGAACAAGAAGGAAGCAACAGAGAATCAACACATCAATAATAGAGGAAAAAAGAGAGAGGAGAAGAAGAACACAACAACAGATGGATATGTTAAATCCAAATTGTTCAGTTTTAGCTTCCTTTTCAATGAAGAAAATTCTCCATATATATCAGGTTCTTTTCCTTGACGAAAAATGAAATTTTATACCTCATGGAAACAAATTCAATGTCATTTCTAATCAGGCACTTACTGGCTTCATTGTAATGGCTTAAAGAAGTTTGGTTGAGTAATAACTTAAGACATCTACCAACTCAAGAAGAAAATCTCTAACAAATGCCAAGATGTAAAAAACAAAGATAAATAACAACATATATAAAATGATAAAGCACCTAATACAGTGCATGAGAAATGATAATATCAAGCAATCAACCAAAAACACAATTTTATAAATCTAGGTTTCCAAAGAATAACTTTTAAATGACCTAAACAAACTTATTGCACATCATCTGGAAGATTCTTTAAAATCGGAAATGAATGGTGCTATACAGTTTCATTAGCAAAAGAGCGAACCCATACCAATTCAGCCTTCACATTTCTTATTTCTTTTCTTGCAAGTTCAACATCTGTAGCTTGACCTTGAAATCTTGCAATAGGCTGTTTCGATAGGAGCAAAATTTAGATAATATCAGTAAGAATTTATAGATCTAATCAACAAATAAAGCAAAGAAAGAAAAGGCAACTACTTTGGTCTAAAAAGAAGATATACAATATAAAAGCCAAATATACCACAGTTCACTGAAATGTAGTGACATAAAATTACAGAATGGTGAATTTACCTGCTTTATCATTATTGTTGATGACGGTAGAGCAGCACGGTTTCCTTTAGAACCAGCAGCCAAGAGTAGTGCAGCTTCTCCCCAAGCATTGCCAACACACAGTGTGAAGATTGGTGGTTTCACATAACTATATTTTGAGGGAAGAAATACATTGAATTATATTAAGCATATTACAACTGATATCATTCTGCCTGATTTGCAAATTTTCATTAATCCCCATATGAACATGAAAAGGACTGCAGTATAATCATGATAATCATAAAGTTATAAAGTAGAGAAGAAACAAGTAGAGGTAACAAAACAATTCTTTCAAAATTTCATTGCAGCAAGAAATTAAATCATGATCTGTTACCAATTTCATCAACTGGTATATCAGACTATACCGCCTCGTATTCGCAAACAAAAAAATCAACCTATATGCTCTACCCTTGGATGGAGCCGACAGATCCATGCCAGTCCATAACTGGATTTGCATGTCAACAAGACTATGGTGACTTTCAGAAATTTGAACTGCTTTGAGGTAAAAGAATAATTCCAATTTGCAACATTGCTCTCATCAATAAGTTATATTAGTTGTACAGTGATAAGAGTATTACTGGAGCAGTCTTGAATCAATCACAGATATTCAAAGTTCAAACACACATCTACCATGATATTAGGGTCTATCGCCTTTTTAGTTATAAGCCCATATGTTTCATAAAGTATTAAAGACATCTTCCCTCTTCAAAGAATTTGTAAGAAAAAACAACTATTTAACTCTTGGGTAATATGCACTTAATCACATATAGTCAGCAGACTCAAAAGTAACATGAACAGATAAGTCAACATAGTTCAAATAACATGAGTGAAGGCAGTAACCTCATGACATCGTAAATTGCAAAAGCCTCTGTCTCATAGCCCAATTTCTCCCCACCCTAGAGAATTGACATAAAAATAGAGTAAGTTATAGGAAGATTGTTTTTTTATCATAAGTCAGCTTGTATCTTGTGTCACAATCCTAAATGTGGTGCAAAAAAATAAAGCACAGATACCAACTGGAGTCACCCTAGGGAAACACAAAGTCTTGAAAGAAATTCTGCAACAATATGCTTCCATTTTCCACATGCTTCTGCTACATAGCAACTTGTGTTGAGTTAAAAGTGATAGAAATTTTAATCAGTCTTGATAATGGAACATCTTAGCTAAACTGGAAACTTCATTTACACATGTGGCTCAAACAGATAACTGCTGCATATGTTATTACTGATATGGAGATAACATGACTGCAGGTTTTAAAATCCACTGACACACATGTAGCTCAAACAGATAACTGCAGCATCCATATGTGAATCCAACAATTAAGTTTCACAGGCCATAATATTGGAGTATCAATGTAATCAATGTCATGTATCCCTCAATTATAATGGTTAAATCTAGTATACAGCTAACAAATAAACAAAGAAATACACATATTACATAACTTTTCTAATATTCAATCTACCAAATACCATGTATCAGAAATGTTATAACGTGTAAAATGTTATCCTCACAAATAAAAAAGGTAAATAAAGATGTAATCATTAAGAGGGGAAAGAACAACTAGCCTTTGTTGTTCCAGTGGAATTTATGTATAGGTAAATCGGCTTTTCTACATCTTCATATTGAAGGTAAAGAAATTCTGCCATCATCAACTCCGTCACTGATGGAACAAGAGACATGCCCAAATATACAATTCGATTTTTGTACAAGTAAGAAGCGAGATCAGGAGGTGGTTGCTCCCAAGCATTTCCTCTCAAGAAAGGAATAACCTGTCGATAAGTAAAAACAAAATGAAGGGTTATGAACATTTCAAAATGATAATTAGTCATCAAACAGCAAAAATAATACAATCAAATATCAATTGTGGACATTATAGCATTCAAAAGCAAGCGATGATATGACAGCAATATCCAACAGTTTGAAAAAGAAAATAGGAATGCAATACCTGAAAAAAGGACAGCCTAGTGCATGAAGGTAAAGTCAATGCAAGGTGTCAAGGAGATCAGTCTATACAGTCTTACCCTTGCGACAAAGATATCTACTAACTGTTGATGTGATTAAAAAAATCTGCATGATAAAATAATTACTAATACTAAGACCATAGGGAGTGTGTCCAGTGAATTTCACATAACTATAAAACTCCTTAAAGGATCAATCTAAAGTTCTTTTCTTATTGATAATGAATGAACATGCTAAAATAAAGTGGTTAAAGTGGAGAGGGGTGTCGAGGGTTTGGTGTAGCAATCGTATATCCCTTAGACCAAACAAAAATTTTATATGACTATTATAATTGACTTTGTTTTTCTCCTACAGATATCTCAACATGTGGTTACCCTCTTAGAATTCTTTTGCATTGTGATGTCCATGCTATTACTTCATTCTCAGATAGTTCAGTCACAAAATGCAAATTGACAAAGAAACATTCCGATTCACTCGTTGATAAAGTGGTTGACTTCCAATATAAAATTACAATATCTGAGCTAATGATCTTTTAGAACAAATAATCTCGGTAGCAAACACCAGATTCTGTGGACAGACAGATAAAATCCATTTTTGTTAGAACGTTTCAGATATCGGCTTCGCTTCAAGTTCACCAGATGAAGGGGACCATAACATCACTCAGAACTGGCAAAATAAATCAACATAAAGAAATAAGGAAAATTTTCAACTAAACAAATGCAAAAAAAAAAAAACTGAATAAGAAGAGAAACGAAACAATTAGGGAAAAGAAGCAACTTTTCTTCTTCTATTGGTTACCATGGTAACGACACCCCTAGTGGGTCGGCGGCCAGTGGATACGACCGGCAGCTTCAGCGACGGAAGCCTAATCTTAAGCCCATTGAAGTCGCCGTGAACGCTACCGCAGACAAAAGGAGAGGAAACGAGGCTGCTGCCGAGGGAACAAGACCTCGAGGAGGAGGCCACCGGGGGCCGGCCGAAAGCCGCTCTCTTCGGTGCCCACCTGCCGCTGCCCTGCGATCTGGGAGAGATGGAGAGCATTTGGGGAGAGTCGGCGGAGACCAATCGTTGCGAGGACAAGGCGACTTCCATGGCCCCTATCTTGTTCTCTCCCTGCAGGGGACGGATAAAGGGCAGAAGCGACGAGCGTGGGCCTCTTCTTTCTCGTGGGCCTCTTCTTTCGCGTGGGCTCATCGCTGGCCCATTGGATACCCAATCTTAAAGTTTGGTGACCTAATGACTAATGACAAAATTGCGAACGCAAACTATATATAATTACGTGTTTGATATTTTGCTTTGTAGAAATCAACATTTGGGCGTCGCGTGCGGCGGAGGAAACGAGGGCGAGCGTCCGTCCGTGGCGAAAGCCGACAGCCAATTCGCCCAATCCCTCAAAGTTTAATCGTGCTTCCCCCTTGTCCCCTCGTCCCTCGTCCTCTCCCTCTAGAGTTCCGATGGCCGACGAGGACGTCTCGGGGAGCCACACCGACGGCTCCTCCATCACTTCGAGCTCCGATGGCGATCACGAGGATCCGATGGAGCTAAAGCCAATGACCGCAGTGGTACCTTCTTCTCTTGCGATAAGTTATCATGTAATTGGAATGCAGTCTTCCCAGGTCATAGTGTCCAGGAAACCTGTTTCCCACTCGACTCCACCGTAAGACGAATCAGTTCTATTCTCTCAACTTATATCAGGACTCTGTCAATTATTAGAGAATCCATAGTTGACATTTACACCAAATTCATGCCTTTATACATATATATAATTGCTCCAACTATTGATTGATGAAGGTGAAATAAATCATCACAGGAGAAGTAGCTATAGTTTTCAGCTTCTTTCTTCTGGGTTGTTTCTCAAATTGCTTCTCCCAACCTGGTAACAGTGGTCTGTAATATGCTCATTTATGTTCTTCAATATGCTCATTTATGTTGATGGTGATTTATACAGTCATTCATATTGACAACACTCACCCAGAGTGTAAATCTGTAAATCCACTGTTTCACTCGAGAGAAGTGACATGATGGATCGCTTAAACAAGCTGTTCTACACCTGCCTGCTAGTTCAATTTAATATGAGTTCATCTCTTATCGGGTACTACAGCAGAGTTGTTGGACCATGATTGCGGCACTAACTCCTTATCTAATTATTATAGGGTGTAAAGCGTTTATGTTCAGAGCTCCTTGCGATAAAGAAGGCATCGGATGAGGACTTGAATAGAAATGTCTACTCATGTTATTCAGCCTTTGTTAGGTAAATGTCCCTGCTTAATTAATTCATGGATCAATCGGTTTATCATGTTTTGTTTAAGTATTTTCTCTGTGCTCCGACTTCGTAGGAACAAAATTTGGTTGGCTTCTGGCATTCAAAAAATGGCCAATTTATATTTTTATAATAAACCTAACTAAAGTTTTCAGTTCTAATGTAGTTTGCTGCTTGTAGTACTAGTTAAGGTATGTCTAGCATTTACCCAATAGAAAAATTAGAGAACTTTTCTTCTTGAATGTTGGATTTGAGGAATTAATTCATGCTCCAAGTTGTCCTAACATTTTGCTTTTGATGTTCATATGGAAGAATCTGACCTCAAAAAGAACGAGGATGTAGCCATCTTGTCCTAATTCTGAATGAAAAATAAAGGGCATTCCAATATATGAATCCAATCACATTCAGGTGGACTCCCAATGATTTGGTAGAAGAAAAGCGGGGTGTGAGCCCATTGATTTGCCACCTCGCAATTTTCAAAGCAATCTTTATCTACTTTGACCATTGTAATTAGCTTTCGATGAACATTGGCTTAATTGTAAGAGGTGATAACACTTGATGGTTTCTGAATTTTATGGAGGGATCAACAGTTTCTTTCAGCCC